AAATAATTATTATTCATTATAATGGTTATTATTTATAGTTAATTTGGTTAAAAACGCTAAAATTAGTAACGCTAAACATGGCTTTTGCTGATTTCGCTAAAATTAGTAGACGCAAATAATAGTAGGCTTAAGGTACATTAATTACATACATTAAGAAGTACAGGATTTTATTACTTTTGCTAAAAATGCACATCCTAACAGTACACTGTCCATTTATTTTTAATAAGAAATTCACCTTCCCACTGGTTACTATATGGTAAAGCCAGTATTCATTATATGCCGTTTAGGGGTTATATTTCACTGGAAATAAATTTCGCGAATTTCAGGTTTTCATTAAATTTGCGAAATTAAATTCCACAAAAGAGGTGTGACACACTAGGAAAAATGGCTGCAGAAGGTAGGATTTGCGAAAATTTATACTAACAAAATAAAACCCCTATACGGTACTATCATAACTTCCTTTAGTCACAAGATCTTTGAGTATATTTAAGGTATCACCCACTTTTTGTGAGCTGACCTTCTTTAGTCTTTCTCTCCTCCTTCCACCTTCTTCATTTTGCTTTGTTGTTTCATCTGGTCATTAGGACTCTCTCTCATCACTCATTCACTGCCTTCCCTTCTCCTCCTCCTCCTCTACTTTGTTTTACATTCTCATTCATTAATGTAAATTCACCTTTACTACTGGTTGTTATAATAAAGGAATGTACTATCATAACTTCCTGTAGTCACGAGACTATAGAATATTCCAAGAGGTCATCAGGGCTATCTTTCCCTAGGCTACTCTCATTCTCGTTCATTCTGACTTCTTCATTTTCTTATTGTTCGTTCTTGCTCTATCTTCATTTACCATCTTCTACCTTTATCTCTCTTCATTTTTTGTTCTTGCTTTACGTACACAATTTTATTCTTTTCTTGAAATGGCAACCAAACCATCTTCATCTTCTTCTCCTGGTCTCCTCAAACTGGAGGAACAGCTCACCTGTCCTGTGTGTCTTGACCACTATACCAACCCTAAGACTTTACCTTGTCTACATTCATTCTGTGAGCACTGTCTGGAGGGATTACCTCTGGATAAAAAGAATGAGACCTATTACCTCTCTTGTCCCACTTGTCGTCATTGTACAGAGTTACCAGAAGAAGGAGCAGGAGCCTTTCCTGTAGCATTCACTCTCAACAACCTTAAAGAGATATACAGTCTAACTAAAAAGACGGCAGATTTATCAAATCCTCAAGAGGCCACATGTAGTGATCATGGAAAGCCTTTAGAGTTCTTTTGCGAAACATGTGATACAGTAATCTGTTCTCACTGCTCAGTTCGTAATCACAAACATCATGAATGTGACTTAATTGCTGACAGTTATACTAAACACTGTCAAAAGTTAAGAGAATGTCTATCACCAGTTGAGGGAAAGAAGGAAGCACTCAAGAAGGTCCTGTCTGCTCTAGCAGAGAGAGAGGGTGAGATCAGAGAGAGAGGAGAAGGAGTCTTAGAAGAAATACATGAAATGGTAGAGGAAATGATTTCTGTTCTTTGTG